CAATCTTAAGGAATGCATTTTTTATATGCTCTGTTCCCTTTTTACATGACTATATTGCTACAAAAGAAAGGCTTAAATTCATTTATTTTATGAAACTAATTAATTTATAAATATTCAAATTATATATACTCTAAAACAAAATCAATTATACACATATATTCACATCAAATACAATTCCAAAATAACATACTTTCATATCCATTTAAACACAATACAACAAATTTAAATTTCAAGAATTCATAATCAATTCTCAAAAATTGCAATCTAGAAAACATTCTCATAATATATCATCAATACTCAAATTTTGTATATTTAACATTAATTATCATATGAGTAATTGTGTATATTAAATAGAAACATCTATATATATATATAATTTATTTCTTTTTAGTATTATTATAAATATTCAGTATTTTTCTCTGAATATGTTATTTATGATAGTTTACTTATTTTGATATATATAAGTATATATCTATTCATTTATTTCAATTAATTGAGTATTATTCTTCATTTTTAATTTAAACAATGTAATCGCTATATACTTTTAATTCCAATAAAATTTTAGGAGTGTATGAATCTCAACTTTTCTAAGAATATTAATGAAAGAGTAAATAAGAATAGTTCTCATTATTTTTAATTAATTTCTTTAATAATTTTTGGAATCACTATAGTTAGTATTATTTTTATCATAAATAAATTTAATTACCAGAATTTCTTTAATTAATAGTATAAAAGCCTTTTAGGAATTTCATTTTTTCATCAAAAATATAAATAAATGAAAACAGATGGTTCTGCAGAAAATTAAGCTCTTACAAATGGAAATGGAGCAGTCGCATAGCCATAATAAGAACCAATGGTTCCATATTTTGAACTCCTTAGGTATGCCAGTCCTAAAGACAAAGTTCTAATGTTTATAGGTGGATTTGCAGCCTTTTGCAATGGAGCTGCATTTCCAAGTTTTTCAATCATCTTTGGAGATATGACTGACTCATTCTCAGAAGCAGGAGATGAGATGGTTCGTCAAGCTGGATTGAATGCAATGTAAATTTAGTAATAATCAATATAGATATTTCATTATTGTGGCTGTTGGAACAATGCTTATGTCATTCATAATGTTTGCCACATGGATGATAACTGGTGAGAATCAAAGTATAGAATTTAGAAAGAGATACTTCACTGCTATTTTAAGACAAGAAATTGGATGGTTTGATACCATTAATCCAAACGAATTGAATAGTAAAGTGGCAAATGAGACCTTTGCAGTATAGGGAGCTATAGGAGAGAAAGTTCCTACATTTATTATGACTTTCTCAATGTCTTTCTTTGGCTTCTTAATTGGTTACATTTAGTAATAATTTTTATCATAAATATTTTTAGTGGTTGGTAATTAGCTTTGGTAGTCACAGCCACTTTACCAGCAATCTCTATAGCCACAGCCATATTTGCCATCATTATTTAAACATCTGAAAATGCTACTCAAAAAGCATATTCTGATGCAGGAGCATTGGCAGAATAAGCAATCAATGCAATTAAGACAGTAAAGATGTTAGATGGTGAAGACTTCGAAGTTGAAAAATATAAAAAACATCTTATTGAAGCAACTGCTACAACAATTAGTTATTAATTTGGTGTAGGTTTGGCTTTTGGTTTTTTATGGGCAGCTATGCTTTGGGCTTATGCTCTTGGTTTTTGGTATGGAGCAAAATTGATCTCTGATTAAGTATTATAATAAATTAATATCCATAGACTCTTAATCATAATATGGGAACTGTTTATACTGTAGGAGATGTAATGATTATCTTTTTTGCCATTTTAACTGGAGGATTCTCATTAGGTTAGGCTGGTCCTTGTGTATAAAATTTTGCTAAGGGTAGATAAGCAGCTGTTAAAATGTTTGCCATTTTAGATAGAAATCCAAAGATTGTTAATCCTCTTAATCCATTAAAATTAACATCTTTTAATGGAACAATTTTATTGAGAAATATTTAATTTAGTTATCCAAATAGACCAGATCAAAAAATATTAAAAGGATTAACATTAAATATACCAGCTGGTAAGAAAGTAGCTTTGGTAGGAGAGAGTGGTTGTGGTAAATCTACTGTAATGTAATTGATTGAAAGATTCTATGATTGTGAAGAAGGAGAAGTATTATTTGGTGGAGCTGATGGAATTAATGTAAAAGACTTAGATTTAATTGATTTGAGAAGTAGAATTGGACTTGTTGGATAAGAACCTGTATTATTTGCAACAAGTATAAAAGAAAATCTATTATATGGAAAAACAGATGCAACAGAATCTGAAATGATAGATGCTTTAAAGAAAGCTAATGCTTGGGATTTTGTATCTAAAATGGATAAGGGATTAGAGACTTATGTTGGTATTGGAGGTGGTTAATTGAGTGGTGGATAGAAATAGAGAATTGCTATTGCCAGAGCTATATTAAAGAGACCATAGATATTATTACTTGATGAAGCTACTAGTGCTTTAGACAGAACTAATGAAAGATTAATCTAAGAAACATTGGATGAAGTATCAAAGGGAATTACAACCATTGTTATTGCTCATAGATTAAGTACAATCTAAAATGCTGATTTAATTTATGTTATTGATAAAGGTGTTGTAGTTGAAAAAGGAACTCATTAAGAGTTAATGAATATGCATGGAAAATACGAAATATTGGCTAAGAATTAAATCCAAGCATAACATTAAGACAATGATTCTGGATCTTTAAGTTCTGGTCCTTCATAAAAGAATCTTTAAGATTAATAAATAGGTTCTTAAAGATCATTAAAATTAAAGATGAATATGATTGATTAATAAAATATAGCTATTGCTGTTAAAGAAGAAATCGATAGATTTAAGGAATTGGAAGTACCTGAATTAGTTAAGTAAGTTTCTGGTTAAGGACATCATCATCATCATCATCATCATCATCACCACCATCATCATGTCAAAAATGAAACAGACTTAGAAACATAACCATTACCTAAGAAAGAGGAACCTAAAAAAGAAGTAGATGCATAAATGGGTAGATTGTTCACTTACAATTCTGATGAGAAACCTTAATTTTTTATTGGTATTATAGCAGCTTTAGCTAATGGATGTACATTCCCAGTATTCTCATTATTCTTAGCAGAAATGATTACTGTTTTAGTTGAATCTAATCCTTCATTTGCTGATTACAAATGTTCAATTACATATGAAAATCCTACACCAGAATTGTGTTAACTCTTAAAAGATGATTTAAAGGATGAAGTTAAAACTAAAGCAGATAGACTTGCTCTTTGGTTTTTCTTAATTGGTGTTGCAGCTTAAGTTTTATGGACATTCCAAATGTATTTCTTGGCCTATGTAGGAGAGAAACTAACTTGTAAATTAAGATTAGATACATATAGAAAATTATTAAGAATGCCTATTCCATATTTTGATATTCCTAAAAATAATGCAGGTACTTTAACAAGTAGATTGTCTGTTGATTGTAAATTGATTAATGGACTTACTTCATCAATTTTAGGTATTAATATATCAAATGTTGGTGCTTTAATTTGTGGATTGGTTATATCATTTGTTGCAAGTTGGTAAATGACATTAATTATGCTTGGATTGGCTCCTTTGTCATATATTGGAGGAATATTATAAGCAAAATTTTTATAAGGATTCTCAGATCTTACTGATGAAGCATACAAAGATTCTGGTAATTTAATTATGGAAGCTGTTACAAATATTAGAACTGTTGTTTCATTTGGAAATGAATAAATTATTCTTGGAATATATTCAAAGAAGGTTTAACTTCCATTAATGAAAGCAAAAGAAAGAGGAATATATGCTGGTTTGGCATTTGGATTTTCATAAATGTAAATGTTTATAATAAATGCAATTGTTTTTTATGTTGGAGCTATTTTATGCAGAGATGGAGTTATAACAATAGAAGGTATGTTTAAATCCATTCTTGCTATTACATTTGCAACTATGAGTGCAGGAAATAATGCAGCATTTGCAGGTGATATTGGAGCAGCTAAAAATGCCAGTAGAAACATTTTTGAAATTCTAGATAGTGAAGATGAATTTTAAAGAGAATAGAGATTAAAAAAATAAAAGATTACTAAACCTTTATAAGGAGATATTCATTTCAATAATCTAACATTCAAATATGTAGGAAGAGATAAGAATGTATTTGAAAATATGAATTTGACTGTTAAATAAGGATAGAAAGTTGCATTTGTAGGTCCTTCTGGTTGTGGTAAATCTACTTTAATGTAAATGTTAATGAGATTTTATGAACCTGATTAAGGTGTTATAACAATTAATGGAATTGATATAACTGACTATGATATTAGGTATATAAGAAGACAATTTGGTATTGTTTCATAAGAACCAGTTTTATTCAATGGTACTATTAAGGAAAATATACAATATAATTTACCTGCTATTACTAATGAATAAATAGAAAATGCAGCCAAGAAAGCAAATGCTTATGACTTTATCATTAAAAATTAATTTGAAGAAACTTAAGTAGAATAAAAGGGAAATGAAAAACAAAGAGGATAAGGATTTGATAGATAAGTAGGACCAAAAGGTGCCTAGATTTCAGGAGGTCAAAAATAAAGAATTGCTATTGCTAGAGCTATTCTTAGAGATTCAAATTTATTATTACTTGATGAAGCTACTAGTGCTCTCGATGCAGCCAGTGAATAATTAGTATAGGACAGTTTAAATAAACTCATGGAAGGTAAAACTACAGTTGCAATTGCTCATCGAATCTCAACTATTAAAGTATTTAATATATAATATTTATTAGGACTCTGATGTTATTTATGTCTTCGAAGATGGAAAAATCGTTGAAGAAGGAAATTATTAAACATTGGTTGGTCTTAAAGGTTCATTCTATAGACTTGAATAAGGAATTGCTAAATGATTATTTGTTAAATTGTTATGTATTATTTAAATTTGAATTATAAGATTAATTTATTTTAACTAGAATACAAAAAAGTAATTAATTTTCATTACATAAAAACCTCAGCAACCATCTCTTCTGTCAATTCTTCAAATAAGTAATCTGATATTTCCATCAACACTTCAGAATATTCTTAAGCAATTTAAAACCATTTCTTTTCTCCTTCTTACAACTAATAACATCTCTCCATATCATACTTCAATTGAGAGACAATTTTATATTCTCTCTTCATTAATATAAGCCAATGAATCATTTCCTTAACATTCCTACATTATTATAAGTTACTCATAATTAAGTTGTCTAACTGATATCACAGGAATCTCATCAGATAACAATCCTAATCATTCTTAAGTACTTATACCACATAGAGTCTTAGACCAATCAAATACTTTTTATCTTGCTCTCTCTAAGATATTAGGTATATCTTCTATTCCATAACATAATCTTTATGAAATATTTGTTTCTATGCACCATGGATAAGGAATCCCTTCATCTTAATAAAATGGTCTTAAAGTATTGAGAGCATCATTGAAAGCATCAAATATGGCCTAGTTGTGAATTTTTTCATACTAATTTTGAGTTTCCATAATTTGTTCTATGATAGATTTCTTTTATAACTTATTTAGTAAAGTGGTTAAATTTCTTGATGACTTTCGTAATCATCCTATCCATGCAATAATTTCAATCTACTTATGGGTTTTCTACCATATGGAGTATTCATTCTCTTAATGAATTCCTCTTAATTATTTTCTATTTCATAATATTTAAACTTCTACCTAAAATTGCAAAACACATCAAATTTATAAAATTATTTATTACTCCCAAATTTGTTAATATTCCTGCATTAGTTTAATAAGCATATTATTATATTAATTCTATTTTATTTAAACTATTTGATGCTTCATCAACTAATTATTCAATAATCTTTTCAGTTTCTTCTTCTACTTTTAAAGAGTAATTCAAACCATAAATTTATACTTATGGTTCTCTATAATCTGTTATTACTTATTTAGATTCATTATTAGGAGATACCTATAATGGTCTTGTAATTTAATTTCCAAAAAATAATTCTTCATTAAATGTTGAAATTTCAAAATCCTTTCTTTTTGGATCTTACTAAAATGGTTTTGAAAATTAATTCTACTTCTATTATGATGATGATATAGATTGTTATTAAACAATTTTCATTTCATTTTTATCATTAATTTAATTTAAGAATTTTGTATTTGGAGTAACTATTTTTGGAGAATTTGGAATACTAAATTAAAGATCAGATTAATCTAAGAAACTTTCATCTTTAATTTCAGATTAATCAAATGAAATTTATTCTAACTATTAAAGTGTTAATACATACATAACTAAGATAATACTAACATCTAATCTTTTTTTAAATCTTTAACAATAATCACATCTTATTCAGTCTTTTTTAATAATGTATTTGATTATTTTTAAACTTTCTATAATTCTTATTTAAATTTCTATAATTAATCTGCTTATTTTGAGAACCAAGATTAAACTAATTATTTATTATGATGAAATGATCTTGGAGATATTTTTTATTATTGTAATAAATTCTAAAATGCTTACATTTAACTATTAACTCTCAATTTTATACTCTAATTAATATATAATATATTATTTTACTTTCTCTCTTTATTAACATATCTCTTCTATTTATGAATTTGTTAAGAATTCTTTCTTAAAAATAAAACTACTATTTGACATAGGTGATGATGCATAAGATTTTTTAGGAAATTCTTCTAATGCCATCTTTAAATGACTTTCTAATATATTATTTTTTTAATTTGTTTAATTATTTGCTTTTTAATTTTCTATTACTACTTAATTTAAATATGATATTGAAGTTTACAATTCTTCATCTTTTCTTTCAACTCTAATTTACTTTAATATTTATTAAAATTATTGAATCTAATCTTCAGATAAATTTTTCAATTCATTAAATATATTCATCAAAACACTACGATCCTTCTCATCAGATCTTTAAATTGATAAAGTATTTAGTCTTACCGAACTTGGTTTTGAGTCATCTTTTGCTTAATCTTCAAGACTTTTAATTTAAGGTACCTATATATATATTTAATATTTAAATACATCTATTTTATAATCTCTTATTTAAATTGGAGATTCAGTTGTTCTTATTTAATTTCTTACTTTTCTATCTTATTTATTTGATTTTTCCCTTAATAAATGCTTCAATCTTAATGTATGAATCTCTGATACTTTACTTGGACTAGAATTTGTAATTTATTATTATTATTATAATGATTATTTTGATTTACTAATTCCCTACTTTTTACTTAAAGTTCTAACTTATCGTAATAAACTTGGTGAATAATCAATATTTCTCATTTGAAATTTATCTTATATTGGACTAAATTAAGAAGTAATTTATTCATTATAATGATGTATTGCTTATTCTCTTGATCTAGATTTTTATTTCTTTTTAAAAGAAGTTGATTCCTTTTCAGGTGATTTTGACTTAGATTTTGATTTTGATTTAGATTTAGATATGGTTCTACTTAAACTAGTTTTAGATGATACAAATTTCTTCAAAATATCATTAAGCAATGGTTTATGTATATTTTATGATGGTGTTTATTATTTATTTTATTTAACTCTTTATTTCTATGGTGAACGAGAAGTATTCTTAGTCTTTGATTAAGCACCTGATGGAATTAGTACTTTCTTTTTTTCAGGATTTCTTTTTAATGTTTTATCTTATGAAATATCATCTTTCTTTTTTATATTTTATAAAGATTAACTATTCATTTAATGTGTAAAATGATTTTTTTCTACTTTTTTTGTTATCTTTAAAGTATTACTTTATGTGTTTTTTTACTTTGTTTTATTTGCTTATTTTATTTATTTCTATTCATAAGGAATGTATGATTATTTCAAAAAAATATTTTCAAATACATCTGGTGATTATTTACTTTTTTATACTCCTTAATTTGCTTAAGGAACATCAAGACTACTATATCTATTAAAATTAGCAAAAACTTGACTATTCTCAAATCTGTCTGTTGGTGATGCCAAATTATTGTCTGGAAATAAGCATGATGATCTTAATGATTTAACTTCTGTTGGATTTTTAGTCATTGTAATTTTTTAAGCTGATGTAGAGTTTATTATATTATTATTTAAAGCCTTTAATCTACCTTAAAGTTTTTGAATATTTTTTTCTAAAGCATTTGAGTAATTTTAACGCAATTATTTGAAATCGTTAAATTCATTCATTTGATTTATTAATAAATGAATTAACAATCTAATATTGAAGAACACAACATAGATTTTAGAATTTAATTGTATATCTACAATTTAATACTTCTCTTATAAATAAATAGATGTGCAATATAATTAGAATAAAATATTCTTATGAATAGAAATATCCATTTAATAATAAAATCAATTATCATTTTTATTTCTAATAAGTATTATTTAACATATTATATAAAAATATTGATTTAATTTATACAAATATTGTTAAATGTAGTTAGTTTAAGTTTATGAGACAATATAATTATAGTATTATTTGTTTGTAATATTTTAGTGATTCATAATTAAATATGGTGATTCATGATTTTTATTAATTAATAATTAATTGCATATTTAAAAATAAAATCAAAATTGAAATTAATAATATTTTTTAATTAAAATACATGGACAATTAATAAAATAAAAATTGTAATGAGGAATCATGTTGTGACCAAAAAAATTGTTGTTAAGAAGAATAAGTTTAATAATAACAATAATGTTGCACAACTAATTGCTGTGAATCTGAAGAATAAATTAAAAATAATGTAAAATAAAGATATGGAGAAATCTGTGAATAAACAAAATAAATAAATGCTGCTTCATTTTGTGGAGTTGGAGGATGTTGCAGTTCATCAGGTTGTGGAACCATAGATTATGCTGTTTTTGCAGAAAATTATGAAAAATTATAAGGATATGTTCCAGAAGCTGATTTAGGATTAGGATGTGGTATTCCAACTGAATTTGCTGAACTTAAAAAAGGAGACATAGTTTTAGATCTAGGATCAGGAGCAGGAAATGATTGTTTTATTGCTAGAGCTTTAGTTGGAGAAAGTGGAAAAGTAATTGGAGTAGATATGACACCTAATATGATAAGAAAAGCTTAATTGAATTCAGATAAATACAATTTTAGAAATGTTGAATTTAGATATGGGGATATTTCAGATTTACCAATATTAGATAACTTTGTTGATGTTGTTATTAGTAATTGTGTTATCAATTTGGTACCAGATAAAAAATAAGTATTTTCAGAAATCAAGAGAGTATTAAAATAAAATGGTCATTTTTCAATAAGTGATGTTCTTACAACTGGAGATTTACCTTTAGCTATAAGAAAAGCTTCAGAATTACATGTTGGTTGTGTTTCAGGTGCTCTTAGAAAAGATATTTAATTGAAAATTTTAGAAGAATTAGGATTTACTGATATTTAGATTAAAAAAGAAAAGGTGATTGATTTCCCTGATGAATTAATGTTAAAATATGTTTCTTAAGAAGAATTAAAGGAATTTTAGAATAGTGGAATAAAAATTTTAAGTGCAACAATTTATGCCAAGAAATAATGATTAATATATTAAATATATAATAAAGATATAGAATATATGCATTAATTATATCATTTAACCAATAAGGCATTAATAATTTTATTATTATAACAAATTTATACAAGTCCTTCTCTTTAAGATATATGACTTTCTTAAATTGTATTTGGTGTATTGCAATTGATGATTGGAATTTATAATTCTGCAACTTTATTTAATTTAACTAATAAATTATCATGATGAACTTCATTTAAACTTTAACAATTAATAGAATAATCAATTTCTTTAAAGTATTTACAACTACATGCTATTAATATATTGAGTAATATCACATTTGATATTATAATAAAACATGGAAATAGAATGTATGGCATAATTATTTATTATGATTCAAATACTGGTAAGACATTTGCATCCCAATCTAAAAAAATATCTTATATGATTACCATCCAAAGTGAGTAATTATACAAAAGTGTAAAATGCTTATTATAAAGTTGTATAATAAGTTTCTCCTTTAAAACCAATAAATGAACTATAGAATCTACTTGTATAAACTGCCATCAATAGAATTATAGCTAACAATACTGTTATAATTGGAAATAAAATAGGAAATATTGATATTGTTCCTGAAAATATTCCTCTTACAATAGGAGTAGTTGCTAATTTACATAGATTACAAAGACAAGCTAAATCATGAGACAAAAATAATGCTAATGGCCCTGCTATAAAATGGAGAAGCATTCTTTCCCACTTTGATCTCTCATACTATATTCTTGGTTTCTTTTATGATAATTATTTAAAGATACATCTAGAAACAATAAAAATATAAAATGAATAGAATATAAAATATCATCTAGAGCATCAAACAATTTACCCATATTATCCACAATCATAAAATTATTATAAATATTAAATATCACACTTACTATGCTAAATACCATAACAATTTATTAATAAAATTATCCTAACATTAAATTACATATATGAGTATTATCTGAAAGTTTTTTATTTATTTTTTACTCTTTCATTTCATGTTCATCTAAAAAATTCACTTAAACTAATTATTGATTCTATTCTAATTAAAGTGTCTCCAATATAAGTCCAATTAAAATATTCATATAAAAGTAATTCATCAAAAATACATAAGCACATATAATTATTGATGGAATTCCTGTATATCCTACTTATTATTCTAATATTCTTCCTCGTGAACCCCAAGACTAGATTTATTTCATATTAAAAATACATCTAAAGTCAATATCTCTAACATAGTTATGCATGTGTTACTAAAAGTTCCAAATAATCCATATGTTTGTTCATATGAATGATATAAATAAGTAAATAGATATGATGTAAGTAAAATTATAAAAATAATGGTTATTGATAAATTCTTTATTTTTTTAAGTAATTTTACACTTTTTAGGATTGTGGATAGATTGTTTTTGAATGAAAAAAAGCATAAAGATAATATTATACTTTGTAATTATGGTATGGTTTATCTAGAAATTAAAGCACAAAAACATATTGTCAAATCAAAACGATCTATATTTGATATTTATATCTTAGTATTATGTCTCCATATTTAAATCATTAATAAACTAATATTCATTAAGTCCACAATAATTTATTTGTTTTCAAGTTAAAATATTCCAACAAAATAAAGCAAAAATAAAATTTTCTTTATTGTACTACTTTTTAATTAAAACTTTTTCTATTGATATGATTTTCTTGTTTCCACTTTGCTATTTCTTATCTACATTGATAATTAAAGCATAAACTAATAAACAAAACAATCTATTTTTTTTATTAATTTAATTAAAATTACAACAATTTAAGTGCGTTTTGAAGAATATAATAATTTCTGCATCTATCTAATTTATTCAGAAATACTTTAATTCTCATTAATTAAACATTAAAAATATAAATAATAAAATAAAGCTCAAATAAAATTAGTTTACTACATAAAAATAATAATCATTCTCTTTTTATTTTTAAACAATTATCTGCAATACAATAATAAATTAAATTTACTAAAAATAATCCTACAATAAAAGCTATTGGCCAATAAATAAATTTTAAATAATATTAATAATCAAAATACCATTAAACTGGTTGATATTTATCATTAGGTATTTGATTATCAATATATTGATTATGAATTTCTATAAACTAAATTTCAAAATAATATATTAATGTTTATAATTAATGTGCATCCAATTTTTCTTAAGGTTTTTCTGTAAGTAATAAAATGTACGTATGAGCAAGTTTTTGTTTTTCTAATGCTACATCAAAATTTTCATATTTATTATAATAAGTGAAAATCTCTTTCATCTTCTTAATAACAGCATCTCTTTTTAGCTCCCACTTTATTCCTAATTCACTCTATATTAATTAAGTTAATCCAAAACTTAAAATAAATCCAACTATCAAAAATAATTTCATAAAATAATTATTATATTAAGAAATATAATACACCTTCAAAATTCCACTATCATTACTATTACTTAATTATTCAATATTTTCTTAATAATTTTGAATAAAGTAAAAAAATATACATTAATCTAGAAAAGTCATCTCTAAAAAACATTTCATCTTAGAATCTTAGAATAAAAATTTAATATTCAAAATTATCTGACTAACCTTCTCTAATATCATATTTATGGTATTAATAATTAAATTATAAATTCAAGACTGTAAATCCCTCTTCTCAGTAAAGTTGGGTCCAAAATATAGTATAGAGAAATTAAATCTTAAAATTTATTTAGATGTCTTAGTTTTTCAATTTAAAAAAAATCATTCATAATATGTATATTATGTAATATATATATCAGTAGCTTTTATGCAGATTGTTTGTAAAAATAGTATTATTTTAATTATGAAATATATAATAAATTTAGAATCGATATTACTAGATGATATTAAAATATTTAATATTATGATAGATTCATGATAATTATAATGTGCTATGCTTCATCAAAATGATTTTTCATTCTTTAGGAAGTAATGCAAAAAATACTCGGATAAGGCAAATTAATGGTACAACTATAATTAAGATTAATTTAAGGTTCCACTATTTTTTTTATTGTTATTTTTCATTTTATATAATACAATTACTTTTTTTTTAAGTTCTAAATTAATTAGCAATCTATTGAATCGAATTATATTATTATTGATACTTTGGAATAGTGGAATTCATAAAATCTTTCCTTTGAGGAGTTGATTCAAAGAATTTTTATTTAGCCTTATTTACAGCATCCTTGATAGTATGATAATTAGATTTTCGTATAGAAGCCTTCATTTTTTCATTACTTTCTTCCTATAAAGAATATTTATTAATATTTTCATATTCTTTTTATCTTTTTAAAAATTCTGCTGTGATTTCTGTTGCTTATGCTGAAATTTTTTTTGAAATTACACTTTTTTATAAGGTGTTAGTAAATGACAATCTTGTTGATCTTCTTTTCATATTTTTTTCTATAGAAGAATTCATTTAATTAATTTAGTTATTATTTTGTGCAAGTATTAAAATCACCATATAAATTATAATTAGAAATAAATCTTTTCGAATAGTTTTTAATATAATAAAATACAAAATAATTAAAAAATATCTTTATTAATTTCAAATCCAAAATTAAATTAGAGAAAAATATATGTAAAAATTCATTTCATGTGGATCAATAGCATATTATTGTGATTAATATAGGGAATTTGATGATAATCTTGAAAATCTAATTATGATATTTCTAATAAAGGTTAAAGCATTTAGATTGATTTCTATTTAAATTCTGATCGAAATATAGAGGATTTCTTGCTTTTGATATCTTATGAATACTATCTTTAAAAAACCATTTAATTGCCTTATTATTAGTTTAATGAGCAACGATGTAGATCAATTCTTTTAGTCCAGATAGGAGATAATTCTACAAAATCAGTACCTTATTATTATTCAATGTTGTCATTCACCTCATCTTCAAATTATTTAAAACCATTATTAATTGTAGAAAATTTCATATCGACATTTTAAAAACTTAAGGATGGTCCTGATCTCTTAATATCCGAACTAAAATGAATAATTTCTTAAATTACTAGGTTTCTTAAATTATCATTGTGAGATTTGAATTAGATTGCTCAAAAAGTTATTCATTAAAGAAATCGTGTCTTAATAATTCAGCCGCAGTTGGCCTTTGTTTTGGACTTTATTTAAGCATTAAAGTGATTAGATCTTTACAACTTTATGGAACTTTAATTGTATCATCAAATTTGAATTCTGCATTTAGATTCTTTTATAAGACTTTGGTTTTATCAATATCTTTAAATGGATGATTATTATAAATCCTACATTAAATATATTAATGCAATGTATTTACAATTAATACAAAATTACTCCTAAACTGAAAATATCACATTTTTCTGTATACATTTTAGTTCCTTCTTTATATTTTAGAATTTCAGGGGCAACATATCCTGTAGTTCCACAACGATAGAAGATATGTTATTTATCTTTAATCCATGTTGCCAGACCAAAATCAGCCAAAACTATTTCAATAGTATTTGTTTTGCATAGTATATTTTAAGGTTTTAAATCTCTATGCATAATTCCTTTTTAATGCATATAATCTACACATGTTGCTAATTATTTAAAAATCATTCTAGCATCTCTAAGATTGTAACGATGACTCTTTAATAATTCCCCTCCTTCAACTAATTCTAATACCATATTGATATGCTCTAATAAAGAGAATATAATTACTGTTTGTTTCAAATACTTTATATAATTTTATTATATTTGGATGAGATAATTCATTCATGATTTAAATTTCTTCCATTAAAAATTATGGATTAAGCTTTGAATTTTTTCTAATTCTCTTAATTGCATAGCATTAACCATTTACTTAAGATTTAGATATGAAAACCTAAAATTTTCAGTGATAATTTTAACCTAAGCTGTTGAGCCAAACCCAATTTAATTGATAATAGTGTATTATGTATGGAAGCCAATTAAAATACAATACTATTCTAATTGATTCCTAATTTAGTTGTAATTCTATTCAGAATTAGAATATAAAATGACTTGTGACTAATTATGAATTAATTATATTTGATATGGGTAAGAGTTTGAATCAACGGCTGTTCTCATGTAGACATTTTCTAATTTTCGGAAACCTTTCAAGTCCTGAAAAAAATAATAGATTCTCTCATCTTTACATTATATCCATAAAAAATATAGGCTCCTTATATTGTGTAATATCTTTCGATGAACTGATTTAGAAATTTCCCTTTTTTGTACAAACAGATACAATGTTCGTTATTAAGTGTAAAATCTCTTTCATTTTGTAACAATTTTCTAAAATCTTTATCCCAAAATGAAGTGGATTTGTTATTTTTATCTATAAAGAAATGATTTGCAATTGTGAATAACTAATTCATTGATTCAATCTTTTTATCTAATAATATAAAATTTTATATTCCACATTAGTATAAGGATAGAAATAAATATATAATTATTAAAAGCAATATTAAATTTTATAATTCATTTTTTATTCTTTTTTTTTTTTTGATCCTTTTCATTGAATTCTAATGCTTAAATTTCAACCACTCCATTTCCAATTTTATTTTATTCTAATTTACAATCTCTTAATGATAATCTCCATCTTGTTATATCTTTAAGTCCCAAATTCTTTTCTTAATGAATGTTGTAGCTTGTACATTCAGCATCAAAAAGATTATTCCTCGAAGATTTATTTTACTTTTAGTTTTATTTTAACTTTTCTAAATTGGCTTCCCAAACCTCCTAAACAATTTATCCAATATTTTTCTCTTTCTCATATTATTGTCTCTTAATCTCTTATTCATCATTACAATCATCTTCTTAACTCTTTTACTTGCAAAACTCCTACCAAGCTTCTTCTAAAGCTTATGCCAATTAAGTATGAGCCAATATCCAAGTTGATATTTCTTATTTTTTTTAACTCATTTCAATTACTATTTTTTATATATAATTATATTAATAATATATAATAAGTAAAATTTGCATTTCTATTCTAAATTTTTAAATAATTTTATTATTAAATTTCATCATCATCTATAATATTTAGAGTATCCTAAATCATTTAGATATTTTATTATTATATTATAAAATAATAGAATTTGACAATTTATATGCATTGATTTATGTCTTAAATATCATTAAATATTTATAAATAAAGAATGATGAATCAATAATAAACATAAGTGACTCCTTAATAATAAAATAATGTGACTAATGTGATCTATGATTCATTCTCATTATTGAATACAAACTAACCAAAAGTTAGATATCAAAATCCCGTAAGATTAATATATAAATTAGGCTTTAACCAAAAGTTGTGTGCATAGAAATGCTTGCTTCGAAAAGGAAGAAGCTCTGTAGCATATTTAATAAAACAAATTTTATCAATGCCCAAATTGTGAACACTAAGCAAGGAGTCCAGCTGATTTAGTTGAAGATTGGAGAGTTTAAGCATATAAAGAATTTAATATCATCGTTGAAGATGTAACAATAATCAAAGGAATTGTGGTGAATAAATACATAAGAAATAAAAAAAAATATTTGGATTTTTTCTAGATAGATGAATGTGCAAGACAATTTCTAGATATGTTCTAGAGATTTTCTCTTGATACATCAATTAATTCAATGATCTAAAAAGAATTAGTTTCATAGAAATCTAACAACTAAACTAAGATCAATTTTTGGAGTTTTTGTTTGTAAGATAGAGTAAAAATAAATGTCCCTGTGAGAATATTTGGATGCAAACATTATGAATGTTATGAATTAACGAGTTTATTATTCTTTTAAGAGTAAAATAGAAAAAAAAAAGAATTCTTAGATTGCAACCAACCTGGATGTTCAAATCGATTAAGAATTGCTCACATAGATTATACTAAGTAACCTGATACTCCAAACATTCCTTAAACAGAGGAATAAGAGAGATAAGATAAAATAAATGATATCATAACATTATTTTCAGGTATCTGTGTAGATTTGGATTTATTCAATGCAATAAAATTAAGTAATCCGAGCTCATACAAATTTTATTACAATTAAGAGACTGAAAAAATTTAAGAAGATATAAAGACAGAGAATGGCAAATAAGTTGATCCAGTCATTAAAGCAGTATATGAATAGCATCCAGATTTCCATATAAAAATTACTTTTGAAGAATTCTAAAAATAAATATAACAATAGGCAATGTCAGTAAGTCAAGGAGATCTCTTACTAGAGGATAAACAATTAGGCAAGAAAATATCTCTATATAAATACAGAAATTATAAAGTAAAAATGCAAGACCAACTCACAAAACTTACAATTGAATATCCAGTACGATGTAAATTATGTACAGATCTATAGGTTTGTATGGATATGAGAAGTTATATTGCAGATTTTAATTATTAAAAAAAAGTAAATCCAACAAAAATTTATAGTTGTCCATTATGTAAAAAACCTTAAAATAAGCCGATGATTCAAACTTAAATTTAAAATTACATATATTTAGATACAAATATGCTTTCATATATGTTTAAAGACATGTCTTACACTAATGGAACAAATATTTTTGAATATTAAGGTGAATAATATATGCTTTAAGAATTTATGGATAGATAAAAAATCAAAAGAGAGAATTACATAAAAGAGTTAAATGACAGATAGGTTGTATTTAAGCAATTGTTTTGCATAGTAAATAACTAATAGAGAATAAAATAACCTTTACTACTTTAAAACTGTCCAAAGAAATATATTGTTGATTTTAAATCATTTTATGAAGCATCAAAAAAGATAGATTTTGATTATGAATAACAAGACTTAAAATTATGTATATGTGACCATTGTAATAAAAATCCGATTAAGTCTTTTGTAGGAAACATCTATTTTCATGAACCCTTTTATGAAGCTCTTAATAAATTTTATAAGCTACAAAACCCAGTAAATGATAAAGAGTTCACTTACAATTTTGCTGATAATGAGTAGGATAGTAAGGTTTAAGGATAAACAGTTTCTAGTAATCCTAAAATAAAAGTTGTACACAATGTAAATGGATAAGCAGATACTTAAATTCTAAGAAATCTTAAAGGAGAAAATGGATTTTTGGATTTAATGGATGATGAGGAATATTAATAGTTGTTCAGTAAAAAAGAAATTGATGGTTTTTAATATAAAACAGTAGGAATGAAATAAAATTTATGTGGAGTATAAATTGAATACAACGAAAAAGGTATTCAAGCAAATGTTAAAGATGCAGTTGAGAAAATTAATAAGGATGCCAATTAAGATTTAAAGAAATATAGTTTCAATGTTGTAAGCATGTCAGTTCAATTAAACAATGATATATTTAAAAGCAATAAAGGAGTGTTTGATTATAGCACAAAAAAATGAAAGTTTATTTTAGCTACCAAAAAAAATATAAATATATTTTAGTTATTTTAATGATAGTTGAATGATTAATGGGGATAATCCCTATTATATAATTTTAATTCAAAATAATATCTGGAAAGTCTATTCATATATCTTACATAAATTTAGACTAGCATTATCAATATTCTAATGTAAATTAATTGATATTGATTTTTATAAGATAGAAACTAGAATAAGGTTGTGTTCATATTATTAATTTGAATATTGTTTGATAATATAAAAATTCTATTTATATGTGACTATATTTTAAAATTTAATATTACTTAACATTCAATATTACTTAAAATTCAATTATAATTTGCAATCCAAAAATCAAAAAAATAATTACATTAAGTAATAAAATAAAAAAATGATCACGGCCAGTCTCGAACTGGCGGCCTCGTCCTTGTTAGGGACGCGTGATAACCCCTACACCACGCGATCAATTATAACTATAAGATGAGATTTCTATAGATTAACATTCATAATAATCAACAACATTCTTATCTTTTCTTTTTATTTCTTGTATTTGATGTTAAATTTATCTTATAACTATTATCCTCAGTAAGATTAGGAAGAGAAATCTTTTAAGTATTTAATGATTCAGCCAAATCAGCTAATCTTTGAAATACCTCATTCACATTTTAACCAGTTTTGGCAGAAGTCTCAAAATATTCAATTGCAAGTTAATTAGCTAAATCCTCTCCTTATTATTTAGAAATTGTCCTTTTTTCTTCAAGATCACATTTATTAGCAATTAATATAATAGCAAGATCTGTTTTCCCATGTTATTTTAAAGAATTCATCCAAAAAGTGATTTCTTTAAAAGATTGAATATCATCAATTGCATAAACTAACAAAACCCCATGTGCATATTTATAATAATTTTATGTTAAAGTTCTGAACTTCTCTTATCCTGCTGTATCCCAAATTTACATCTTCATGATTTTACCATTTACTTTCATTTCCTTAAATTTGAAATCAACTCCAACAGTAGTTAAATGACTTTCACTATAAACATCATCAATAAAACGTGTAAGTAGATTAGTCTTTCCAACTTAAGCTGACCCTATTATTAGAAATTTACACATAAGATCATATTAAGGCTTTTTAGACATAGTAATTAATATATTATAAAAATTAATCATTTTGTGAACATATTTTTAAAATAACTCTTAGTTTTAATCATATTAAAGCTTGAATTTATTAAAATTCGATCATAGCATTGTAGCAAATAATATAATTTTTGAATTAATGAAAATCAAACAAGATAAGCAAAAAGTTTCAATTCCCCTAAAAGAGCAATTCATCAATTCCATCCTTCAACTTTATTATTATGCTCCTTTAAATAAATCTGTTTTATTTGGCTTTTATGCTTTAGGATTGTTATAGCCTTTGCTATTCCAAAACTTCCCTCTAAATTCATTTACTCAGTTAGATGATTAAATACTAACACCTATTAATTAATTTTGGTACATTGAAGTTGTGGCTCGCCTTGACTTTATCATTTAAGACTACATACCCAAATATTGTTATTTGATACCAATGATCTTTAGCATAGTGTTTATTTTTATCCCTTTATTATTGAATATTTCTAACAAATGGAACTCAAATAATAAACGAATAATTAATAAGCTATCCTTTTATATGCATTTGAGTTCATACCTTTTTTAGCTTCAACCAATATTCTTATAAATACCATTATATTGTCTCTGCTTTCAATCTTTAAGTTATAATATAAATAGTGATGATATTATTGAATTAAATTACCTAAACATTACATTAACAACTATATCTCTACTGTTTTTATATACCATTAATTTTTTGATTATTCTACTATGTAAGGAAACAATTGATTTTAATTTAAATTGCTTTTCTAATCTCAAATTAAGCTTTGGTGATTTTATTATATGGATACTTAATATATTCCAAATTATCATTTTCTATAATTTGAAGAAATACAATGAAATTTTATAAGCAATAATACTTTTTGCTAGTTCCTTAATAATGTTATATAATATTTTTAGATTGTTAACATGTTTGAAAAAAATGATTTTAACAACTTTAATCATAATTTCTTATTAATTTATTTAATCTTTATTGATTTTAGTCAATTTTGAATCAGAAATAGATATTAATATCAATATTATTATTTATATCATAGTTCCTCTACTAACTTAAATTTTATATGAATTCTTTATTTATAGGGATTATAAGATGATGTTGAAAACATAAAAATTTTCAATTTCAAATTGCAAATATATACTTGGAAAGTTTTTTAATGATGAATTCATATCATTCTCCTAATCTATTATTATTTATACCAAAATTATTATTGAATATCAATAGAAGAAACTATCAATTGAACCATAATAATAATTACCATTAACTTATATCAATTAAGAATACTTACCAAAATATTTATTGAATTTTTACTACAAAACTCAAATGAAAAAATATATTAAAGAACTTCAGAGGGTAGATTCTAAAAATAGAAATGCTAATCATTATGTACATTATGTTGCACTTCTCTATAGAATTGGATTAAATAATTTAGCTCTCAAATAAATCAATATCTTATTATTTAATATCACTATGAGAACTAATAGTAGAAGTTAAGTTAAAGAAAAGATTAGTGAATAAATAAAATCTTTTAATACTATGAATTAAAGAAAATAATCAATGAGTAAATCATCAAAATCATAAGATGTACAGGATGCAGGTTAATTATAAATAAATAAACTAAACAAAATGCTTGCCTTTACTGGAACTCATTTATTAAACTTTTATCAAAAAGTAAGAGTAATGATACTTAGAGAAAAAGTCAGAGATAAATTAAAACTATCCTTTCAATACAAAGAAATGATTGGAGATACTTATAGTTTACAAATGGCTATAGAATTATTCTTAAAAAGTGAAAAGAGAAACTAAAACCTAAAAGAGTAAGTGTAAATGTTAGTCAATTCTAAATTAGGATTCTATTTATAATTATAATAAGTAAAACATATAAGATCAGTCTAACTTTTTCAAGTATCTAAATAATTAAGTAAGAAAATAGAAATCTTAGAAAATAAACTAATCAAATTATATAAATATTTTCCAAGTCAAAGAATTTAATCATTATATACTTATTTTTAAGGAGAACTTTTAGATAATTATTTATATGCTCATAAAATAACTTGTAATTCATCTATATCTGATGAAAAGTTAATAAATGTACATAGCAATACAGACTAAAAACATGCATTATTTAATAAAGATTTAATATATTTAAATGTTAAATTATTTGAAGATACTTAAGAACTACAAATATAGAATATAACTCCATAAATTTGCACATTTTTTTAAAGAAATTATGATGATTTAAAGGCAAATAGTAATATAGATTATTTATTACCAGATGGGATTATTAATGAACATTAATTATTAGTGTAAAGATTTCTTCAATCTTCTTAGTCTAGATTTTATTTAAGCAAAAATCTAAGTTTTTTTAAACTTCATTCAATAATCATAAAACCATTTGAATTCTTTTTTGAAGTTAATTTTAGTGATATTACATAAATATAATTTTTAGCATTTTTAAATGAAAGTTTTTAAACTTCAGCTTATATATTTGTTGATGTAAATTAATAAGTAGGTGGTATTACTTAAAATTTATTGGATAAATTAGGATTTTCAAATTATTATATTGAAAATATCAAATCTAAATTGTTATTTAATACACCAATAGAGTATTTGATTCCAAGATTCTTATAATTAACTACATAAAAAGATATTTTAAATTTTACAGATTTCTAATTTTTAAAATAATCTATTTTGATAAATCCATTGATAAATGATGATGATAGGATAAGAAATACAAAATAAGACTTTTCTGAATGGTAATTAGAAGAAAATTTGATATATTGTGAATGTCTAATATCAATTCATATTAGAGATCTTTATGGATATTAATATTATATAGTAGAGATAAAAGAATTAAAGATTAATGATTCTTACTTTCAAAACGAATTAGAGAATATTTCATTAGATTAAGCATTTACTCCTGTATCAGATTAAGAAGGATTAGCTAATCCACCTGGGATTTTGAAGATAGAAAAAGAGAAATTTGAACCTTTGAGAAGAAATGATCATTAATTTGAAATTAATTTAATTTTAGATAAAAGCTAATAGTTTTATCATCCAGATTAATAAAAGTATGAGGTTAATTTAATGAGTCCTGTTGATTTAAGTGCTAATCCAACTCCATTGAATTCTGCAAATCCTCTATTGAAATAATAAGAATTTTATAGTTAAATAGGATAAAATCCTGAAGGTATTTCATATTCATCTAAAAATCAATTTGGTAAAGCAGTAGATATGGATGATTTAGAATAAGTTAAGAAACCTTAATTTGAAAATAAAGGTGAGGATACTAATTCTTCTTAAGTTGGATGGGCAAAATAGTCATAATTTTATAAAAAATATGAAATGATTTAATAAATTTTGAAATCTCATAATCCAAAATAGTTAAAAATATTTACTATATTATTAGTAATATATTTTATAATTAGTTGTATTCATTATATAATAATAATCACTAAAAATTAGGATGATCTTAATTAATTTATATCTGAAATAGATATGATAGAATTACATAGTAGTTTCATGGCACCACATGATATATTTGTAGCAATGAGAATAGCAATAGTTTCATATACATCATATATTTAAGATGGTGCACTTACAGTCACTTAAGCTAATGCTTTAATGAAACCATTTTATGATAATATTTAAATTGGATTTACTGAAATAAAAGAAGTATTTATAAAATAATTAAATAATTAAAATTTATAACCTTTTTTTGAAAATAAAACAATTGGTATGATATTTATGGGTGCAAATACAAGTGATGTTTATAATGTTACATTAAATATTAGAGAAGCATTACAATAAATCATATAAAATTTACATTAATATAAATATAGATATGAAAATAGAATGAGTACATCAGGTAGTTCAATTTAAGTATTTGGAGTAGCAAATTAATTCTATCTTCATTATTGGTTAGAGGAATTAACTTTAGAAATTATGGATTATTCAACAAATAGAAGTATGACAATAGAATCTGATTGGACTACAATTTGGGCTATATTTGTTGTGATAACTCTAATAATTACATTATTTATAATTTATTATTATAGATTATTCAATAAAAGATAAGATATGTATTTAGGAGTGTTTAAATTTTGTAATTTAAGTAGATTACAATATGAAATAGATAGATATAAATTAATTTAAAAATAATTATTAAAGAATCCTGATCTAGTATTTTTATATAAATTTGATTTATCATAAAAAGAATAATAACTTTTAATTCAATAAAAAATATAAGATTAACTTAATAGAAAGAATAAAGATTAATAACGAAATACTTAATTATAATATGAATCTTTATCAATAATAATTAGTATATCATTAATATTAGGAATTTGGATAATATTTTTAGGATTGAGTATAATAATATTTTAAGGAGAATTGAGTTTCTTAAAGAAATATCCTGATACAGTTGATATTTATAAATTAATATAAGATATGACTTATTCTTCAGCCACCTTATATTAAAATAGAGATTTCCATTTTATATTTCCCAATTTTACTTATATGACTGAATTTGATGATAAATAATTATTTTCATTAATTGATTAAGGAATTGAAAATATTTTAAAGTTTAATTTATTGACATAGAGATTTGATTCATCTAAATATTAAGTAAATAATGATTTTGTCTTATTTTTTAATTAAGTATAAAAATAATCAGTTTGTGACATATTGAGTTAAGAATAATTAGGATTTTTAGTGGATTTTTGTCCTATTTCAATATAAGGAAATTATTTAAAAGGAGTGATGGCAGCATTGAATTTTATGAAAAATTAGATTTAAACTTAAATTGTTGCCAATAGATTTAGCAAAAGATTAGAATATCCTATTTATGATAATGAAGCTGGTATTATAATGGTTAGAGTATTTTAAATGATGACTTAAAAATTAAAAACAAGTATGTTAGGTGTTACAAATGATTTGCAAACTGTCTCAATTGTAAAATATCTTAATATATTTTAGGTGCTTTCTTCAATTTATTTAATATTTGCAATATTATCTATTTCAGTAATATTTCTAGGATTGAAAAAATATCTAGAAACAGAATTTAATACAATTAAAAGATTCGTACAATTAATACCATCTTCCATAACAATGTTAGATGATTAATTTGAAAGATATATTAGAGCATTATTAGTTGAAGAAATTTCGTGAATTATGATATAAATATTAATTAAAAAATATCATTATTAGAGAAATTAAAAGAGAATAAGATTCAATATTATTAAATATTTTTAGATTTTATTACAAGATCTTTAAGTTCTTTATCAATTTCTTATATTTAATCTATTATCTAAAGTAATTATTATCTTTTTTCTTATTTAATTTTTAAATCAATTAATTATGAAATTTCATTTTCTATAGTCTCATATTTAATATTAAGAATTTTTAATTATTCATTTAAATGATGAATTCTTTATTAAATTTAAAAGTATCCTTGTTTTTTATTTATACTTAATTAATCTGTATATAAATGTTCATCTGTTGAATTTCTAATATTATTCCTATCATCACTCTTCTACTAAGTAAGGAAATTCTATTCTTAAGTTTTAACAATTAATCTACTAAAAACACTACTTTATGAATCAATAGTTTATTATTTTAATAATTCTTATTAACTAGTATTATTTGATTAAGCTAATAATTTATTATTACTATATTTATCAAATTTTCTATTATTCCTTAAACTTTAAGTTTTGTCAATTATATTTTTACTCAATTTACTTTTCTTTTATGTTTCTCTAGGACTTTAAGTATGAATTATTGAGTTGAAAGATAAATTAATTAATTATTGCTTTAGTAAATCTATCTAGATATTAGACTCTGATATTTTTTTAACTCTTTTTAACTCTGCTTTTTCCAATTCTAATTTTTAATGTTCTAAATCTAATTTCAACTATAAATTATGATCCTTATATTATTCTATCTAATTAGTTAATTCTTAAATCTATTTTTTTTACTTAATTGTTTCTTCTTGTATTTCTATATATTAAATGTGAATAATACTTTATATTTTAATTTCATCATATTATTGTGTATACCAATTCATATAAGTATGTATTTCAAATATTTATTCTTTTAATTTATTTATTTCATCTTATAAACGTTCATTCTTTTCTATTAAACATTTACCATCTCTCTTTTCCTAATCTAAAATTGATTCAAGATTGCTATTATTCTATTTATATTATGTGTAATAATTACTTATTTCTCTTACTAAATTGTTTGATTTTATAAATTAATTTTATTTCTATAATTTTAATTGTTTTCTCCTTATAATTCTAATTAATCTTATCTAATAATAATAATAAATTAATTAATTACAATTATTGGATATAATCTTATTATTCTCTATATCTTTAATCAGATTATGATGCAATGTTTATTAAATTTGATTGTAATTATTATATTTTTTATTCATACTCATCTTTCATTAAGTCTTTATCAATTTCCATTTGAGCTAACTTTAATTCAACATCTTTAATTTATTGGTTCTCATTTAATTTAAAATCAATATCTACTTATCTTTCCTTAATCTAATCTTATTTAATCACTTATTTAGAATTCTATCAAGATATGTTTTAAATAAATACAATCTAGATTTGAAGATTTTCATTTTCATTTTCTAAAGATTTGATTTTATCTTATAATGCTTTCATAGCATTCACATAACTTTAAGATGTTGATAAATTGTTGGATAATTTTTAATCATCTGATGGGCTTAGTTAATTATATGATTTTTTAGATTGATCCTTTCCACGAACTCTATAACCACTAAAAATTTAAGCATTTAAGAATTGAGAGTATTTTGGTTATTTATCAACAATTATTGAATGAACACTGTTTGTTTTCATAAATAGTTATATTAAATTAAATATATTTAATATATATAAAATAATAAAAAATATAGAATAGATAACCAAATAAGTTGTATTAGTAAATTTAATCATGAAACATTCAAATTTATACTTTTTTCTATTCTTCCTATTTTTTATTAGTTTCAAAATATTTTTTAGAATCAGATATCAAAAATTGGATGATCTCATTATCATATATTTCTTATGTACTAAAAATAGCATTCAAATAAACTTCTAGATCTTCTCGTCTTTTTTCAATAGTCTCTAAAATAATTAAATTAGATTATATACCTGGATTTTCATTTGTTTAACCAAAAAGCTTACGAGTAGGAAATGGAGGTAATTTGCCTTTGTATCCTTAATCAACTAATGCATCATGAATATTCTTAATTTCAGAGTATCTTTATTTGTAAATCCACTCTTCTTTTGTGATTCTGTTTTTAAATCTCATAGAGTAGATTACGACATCATCATAAACTGTATAGCTTTCAATAGAGACATTGATTTTCATTCTAGGATTAGATTAGATATAGTTACTATTAATTTAAAGGTGTTTCAATAGGTAAATATGATTGGACAGGTGGTAAACTAAGAATTTTATCAATGCTGAAAAGTTAATTGAAATATAATTCTAATTCTTGTTGTCTTTGTATTATTTTTTCTTGATTCTTATTGGTTTTAGAAAATAGTGATCTTTTTGGGAATTCAGGCAATTATAATTAAAGTTTAAGTAGATTGATGTTTTTTATTAATTATTCATGAAAATCTTTAAGTTCTGAATATCTATTCATTGTTGTTTTAGTATCTGAAGGATTGTTTACATTTGTTACGATGATTTAATAATGGACTTTTTCATTTTGAATGAGATTGTTGATTTTAACTGAGTAATGTTTGAGTATCATTAGAGAATGTTGAAAAACAAAATAAATTAAATTTATAGGAAATATTTAACTCAATATATTACTTTAATTAATTAATGGATTTATTTGGTGTTTTTGAAACAAATGCTAATGCTGATGGAATTCAAGTGGAGAACCAAGTGGAGGATGAAGTGTCAATGAATGTAGAAGCATAGGAGAAAGTTGAGGCATTTAAGATAATAAAAAACCAAGAAAATGAAGGTTGTATTCATGAGTGGTACACACCTGAAGATTATTAGCCCATTCTAGAAAAGAAATAGAATGCTAAATAATATAAATTTACTTTGGATCCATTCCAAAAAGTAGCAGTCAAGACTTTGGAATCAAATGAATCTGTATTAGTGGCCGCACATACAAGTGCAGGTAAAACAGCAGTAGCAGAATATGCTATAGCAATGGCTAAGAGAGATAAACAAAGAGTTGTGTATACCTCTCCAATTAAGGCTTTATCAAATTAAAAATACAGAGAATTGTAATAAGAATTTGGAGATGTTGGATTGGTTACAGGAGATGTAACATTGAATGAGAATGCCTTTTGTTTAGTAATGACAACAGAAATTTTAAGGAGTATGTTATATAGAGGTTCAGAAATTGTAAGGGAAGTAGCATGGGTCATAATGGATGAAGTACATTATATGAGAGATAGAGAAAGAGGAGTGGTTTGGGAAGAGACTATTATCTTATTAAATTAAAATGTAAGACATATATATTTATTCATTTTTTAGGTTCGATTTGTCTTTTTATCTGCTACAATTCCTAATGCTAGTGAATTTGCTGAATGGGTTTGTAGAATCAAACGTTAACCTTGTCATGTTGTTTATACTGATTATAGACCTACACCATTATAACATTATCTATTTCCAAGTGGTGCTGAAGGAATCTATTTAGTTGTGGATGAAACAGGAAAATTTAAAGAAGACAAATTTTAAGAGGCTGTAGCAAAATTGGAAGAAAATGTTGAAAATACAAGGAAGAGAAAAGCTACAGAGGGTTCAGATTTATTTAAATTGATGAAAATGATATAAGAGAGAGAATTAGCACCAGCCATAGTGTTCTCCTTTTCTAAAAGAGAAGTAGAAGGATATGCTATTGGAATGTAGAAATTAGATTTAACAACACCAAAAGAAAAAGAGAATATTGAAACCATATATAAAAATGCAATGAATTGTTTATCTGAAGAGGATAGATAATTACCATAAATTTAATTAATGCTTCCAATTTTAAAGAAAGGAATTGGTATTCATCATGGTGGTTTATTACCAATTGTAAAAGAAATTATTGAAATACTTTTTCAAGAAGGATATCTTAAAGCTTTATTTTCTACAGAAACATTTTCTATGGGTTTGAATATGCCTTCTAGAACTGTAGTTTTTACTTCTGTTAGAAAATTTGATGGTGAATAATTTAGATGGATTCAAGGTGGAGAGTATATTTAAATGAGTGGTAGAGCTGGTAGAAGAGGTATTGATGATAAAGGAGTTTGTATTTTAATGTGTGATGAAAAGATGGATTAAGAAGTTGCCAAATCTATGCTTAAGGGAAAATCAGATGGTTTAAATTCTTCATTTAGATTATCATATAATATGCTTATCAATTCTATGAGGATGGAAGATACTGATCCAGAATTCATTATTAAGAAGTCTTTCCATTAATTTTAAAATGATAGATAATTACCTGAAATGAAGGAAAAATTATAGGATTTTAAACAAAAACGAGATTAAATATAAATTGAAAATGAAGATAAATTAGGTAATTATCATGATCTAATCTCTTAATCTACACACATTTATAATAAAATAAAGAAGATTATCTATTAACCATAAATTGTATTACCATTTATGCATATAGGCAGAATTATTAGAATAAAAGGTTCAGATGGAGATTGGGGATGGGGAATATAAATTAATTTTATGTAAAAGAAATTTGGAAATAAAAAGAATAAAGATCAAGAACAATCTATTATTTTAGATGTAATGTTATATGTTCAAAAAAGAAAGAAGGTATATATATATATATTTAATTATAAAGAATGAACCACTCTAACCTCAATTATCATATGAATAAGATGGAGAATTAGAAATAGTACCTGTCTCTATTGAGTAACTATATGAGATTAGTACAATCAAATTAAATTTACCAAAAGATCTTAGAACTAATGAAAGCAAATAATAAATTAAATAGACTATGATTAAATTGTTAAAAGAATTCAAAGGATAGCCTCCTCTTATTCATCCAATAAAGGATATGAAAATTAATGATGATTAATTGGATAAATTGTTAGAATAAAGATAATCATTAATAGAATAAATAGAATAAGTTAAGAAGGATTTAAATAATTAGAATTTAGAACAGGAATTAAAAGTTTATGATGAGAAAATTAAACTAGGTTAAACAATAAAATTATTGAATAAATAAATTGATGAAAGTTCATAAATGGTTTTGAGTGGAGATCTAAAGAGAATGAAAAGAATCTTAAGAAGATTACAATATATATCCAAAGATGAAATTGTATAGATGAAAGGTAAAGTGGCATGTGAGATATCAGCAGGAGATGAAATTATGGTATATATATAATAATATATAAATTAGTTAACTGAACTATTAGTAAGTGGACTCTTTAATGATTTAGCTTCTGAAGAAATATGTGCTGTATTGAGTGTTTTTGTTCATGATGAAAATAATAGTGAAAAATTCTAATTAAAAAATGATAAGATGTAATAACTATATACAAAAGTACTTGAATAGGCTAAATATCTTTATACTGTATATACAGAATCAAAAATGAATATTGATGAAGTAATATTCTTAATATCATAATTTTTTAGAAAGAGTATTTGGCTACATTTAAGAGTTAAATGATGGAAGTAACTTTAGCTTGGTGTTAAGGATAATCATTCTTATAGATTTGCAAAATGACTGATCTATTTGAAGGATCTATAATTAGATGTCTAAGAAGATTAGATGAATTAATAAAATAAATGGAAGAGGCTGCAAAAGTGATTGGAAATAAGGAATTGGAAAATAAGTTTAAGGAAAGTTCTAAGAAACTTAAGAAAGGTATTGTTTTTGCTGCATCTTTATATTTGTGATTGTATTTATTGAATTATTATTTAATCTATGAGTGATAAAAATTGTTTTGAACCTATTTGTGAAAAAGAAGACATTCTCAATTTTAAATCCAAAAAGAGATCTAAGCTTTAATTTGAAGATGAATAACCAATTCAAGAATGTCCATTAAATAGGGCTACATATGGAAATTATACTTGGAATATGTTGCATACTACAGCAATCTATTATCCAGATGAACCTACTTTGGAATAATAATAGAAAATGAGAAATTTCTTTGATGCGATTGCTGAATTTTATGCTTGTAAACATTGTAAAGCTCATTTTCAAAAGGATATATTAAAATGTAAATTGAATGTTAATGTATATTAGATCCTCCATAAGTAACATCAAGAAAAGATCTTTCAATTTGGTTATGTTAGAGACATAATGATGTGAATTTATAACTTGGCAAAGTTCAATTTGATTGTAGTTTTGAAAATCTTGAGAAGAGATGGAGAACAGGATGTTAATGAATAAAATTATTTGTGTTATTTTTGTTCTTTTATTTTTTATTATATTGTAAATGTAATATAATTGATTATTGAATTAATTTAATGAATGAATAAAAATTACGTGAGATGATGAAAATCTATACTGTTTCAAAATAAGTAAACAAAAAGGCTGAAAAGAATTTTATCAAATTTTCTAGTTAATATTATAAATTGCATAAGAATGACATGACTCCAGATTTATTGAATGAAGTCAATTCTCTTAGAACACAAATTAAATCTGATAGAGTTGCATTTTCCAATTAAAACTCTCCTCAAGTAAGTCCTCGTCTTACAACCAATCCTTTATTTAATTGTAAAAAAAAATGGGATTTAAATTTATTATAGTCAAAGAAGAGAAGCCAAAATTAAATTCCATATATTCAGATGATAAACATTAAGATATTTATAAACTCTACATTGAAGAAATAAGCGATCTCAAATCATGTTACTATATTCATTTATTTCTAGAACTGAATTAAGCCAATTCTATAATAAAATAATAAAAAATTGATTATGATAGAAAGATATTAGGTAAAGTTTTTGTATAAAATAAGAATTAAATTTAAAACTAGAATCAGAAAGAGCTAGAATCAAAGATCTCACTTAATAAGTAATATTAAATAAAGTATTATAAATTAGATTTAAGAGATGAAATCTAATTAATTAACAAAATCAATTGTACCTATGCTCAATTATAGTTTTGATTAAAAAAAATAGAAATAGAATTCTGATTTAAATAAAGAATAAAGTAGAGAATTATTTAAGACTGAAATTTGTAAGGCCTTAGAAAAATACAACAACAATAAGTAAGATTAGAGTAAGGAATATAAATGAATAACAAGTCTTATTGGTTTCAATTTTTGTGTATTTATGATTAAATTAATATGGCATAAGAATAATTGATATTTAATTAAATGGATCAGCAATCTCCAGATATTAAGGAATTGTTATTACTTTATAATAATGCTATCTAAATCAAAAAGAGAGCTGAAAAGAAATTGATACGTTTCACTAATTGTCTTTCAGAATTAGATAGAAGAAATTGTGGTGTAGAAATTATTGAATAAATCAATGTTGTCAGACAATAAATTAAAGAAGAAAGAAAAAATCAAGCAGAACAAACTGTTAGAAATTCATATGTATTAATGCAAAATCAAATGGATAAAAGTAGTTTAATTCTGTAACAAAAACTATAAGAAAAATAACTATGTATATTTGTTATCTGATTTATTATAGAACTTGAATCTATGGAGTTGGAGTATAAATGTCAAATATAGTAATAATAACAAATAATTAACCATCTTAATCTATAAATTGAAGAAGTTAAAGATTGTAATTATTTTTCATTATTCAAATAGATAATCAGGAATAAATTTTCTGTTTGACTCAAAAGAATCAATAACTACTCTATCTTATTGAAGACTTGAACAACTAAATTGCAGAATTAAAATAAAGTATCCTTTTAAATGAAATTTTAGTTTTGGAGCACTATCAAAACGAAGAATTCAAATATCAAAATAATAATAACAGTAATAATTTTCATTATTTTAAAAAGGTTCTATAAGAGTATCTTAAAACTCTCAAATGCTTTAGAATATCAAGAAACTTGGAAGCCAAGACTACAATCATACAATTGAATCTATGGATCAATGTTAATTTGAAACTTTGGCTTCTGAGGTCAAATATCAAGAAACTTGTTAAAATTTTGATGAAGAAATTCTTTTGGGATCTTATAATTAATGTTCTGAATCTAAAGGTATACAAATATCCAAATTATAGATTTGCAATCCCCCATCAAAATTTAAGATCAAAAAATAAATCCAAATTAAATTAATGAATTGACTTTTACAATTGAAGAATTAAAAGAGCAACTTCAAAGTAATATATCATATTTAGTTAGATTTACAGTTTGAAAAACAAAGATTAATTGACAATATGAAAGAAAACCAAGAAAATTATGATGCAATTATTATCAATACTTAACTAAATTAGAATAATTTAAATAATTAAATTAATGATTTGATTTAATTAAACTAAGGTATAGATATACATAATATATATAATTAGAATTATTTACTAAAGAGTAAATCCTTTAAACATAGGTTTAAGAATAAATAAATCAAATAGAAATACTTACAGAATAACTAGTATCATCTAAATAGTTATTAAATAAAAATGATGAAACTATTTCCATATTGTAACAAGAATAAGAAATCACAAAATCTTAAATTCTATTATTTAAAGAATAACTTGAAATAATTCCTAAATTAGAATAAGAAATTAAGCATCATTAATTAATAATTTAGGATTATGAAAACCAAATACTTAGTTCTACTATAAAAAGATCAGAATTAGATGATAAGCTAAATTAATAGCATATCAATCAAGAGAAATTTAAAACATGTAAATAGGATTTAACAAAATCAATATAAGACTTAAATTCTTAATTAACTGAATCTTAAATAAAATACTAAGTATTAGAATAAGAAAATTTTAAATAATAATAATAGATTATCCTTTTAAATGAATAAAAAAATGAGTAATAATTATAATATGAGGATTTAAAATAAAAATATTATCAAATCTAATAGAATTAAATAGAATTAGAATTTTATAAGGAAAAAGAGGAAGATGCATTAAATTTTTTGAATAAATAATTTGAATGTAATTATAATAATAATGAATTTTTAGAGAATAAAATTTAAAATTATAATCTTTAAAGTGAGATAAATTAATTGAAAATAGATAAAGAAGAATTAATTAAATAAAACAATAGTAAGGATTTATTAATACAATTGTAATAATAATTGGAGAATCAATATAAAGGTACACTATAATTATTGAGACTCTAGTTCTTGAAGAATAACTTAAAAATGCTAAACAATAATAATAGGATTAATGTAATAAAATTACAGAATATTACAAACAAGAAATCAAATTAATGTAGGAATAATTGATAAGAAATTCAGAAAATATCAAATAATATTCACCTGTTAATGAGATATCATAAGATGATAAATATAAAGAATATATTAATAGATTAAATGATGAACTTAGATAAAGCAAATTATAAATTGCCCAATCCTCTGTTATTAATAATTAATTAAAATAATAATAAAAGGATTTAGTATTGAAGTTGTAAAGTATGTTAAAATTGACTCCTACAATCGATTAAGATTTAAATGATTTAATTTTAATAATTGAAAGCAATTTATCAAGTTGTCAAAGCAGTCCTGTTAGACAATCGTTTAAAAGAACTAGTATGATAGATACAACAAAAATGCTTATGAATAAATCAAGATTCTCATTTGGTTCTAATAGAGGATCAGTTTAGGTTTCTTAGAAATAATTATCAGACAATGGATATAGAAATAGTTTAAATATCTTGAAGGTTCCATAGAGTAGTCAGTGTAATACAGATTTGTAGAAAATTCTGGATGATGTTTCAGATTAGGATATCATTTAATAATGATTAAGAATGTTTCATATTGAATTTATATATTTTTACAACATCTTCAGCATTTTTCATCATGGTAACTCCAAAGAAAACTCTTTGGACCTCTGCCTGCTGCTCTCTTTACAAACTCTGCATCATTTGGAGGTTTCATCTGATAATAATAACATTAATCATCACTTTTTTTGTAGCACTTGATAACATGGATTAAATTGAAAGGCAAACAGATGATACAGTCAAAGCTGCTGACCATTCTAATTAAATTATTTAACATGTAAATACCATCAAATAATATTGACAAACAAATGAATCCATTAGAATAAATATGTTCATGCTCAGGTGGTTTACCAATAAAGATGACCTAAAAATTCTGATTATTAATATTACTTCAGGTGATTCAATTGGCTAATTTCATAAGAAAAAAGAGCTAAATAAGAATAAGTAATTCTACATATTCATTTGAGAATTTGAATTGCAATCTAAAATATTAATATCAATGCTTACTCGAATTTCTCCCCTTAATAAAGAGTACCTTTTGCACCTTCAAATGCAACAATCCAATGTTTGATATCATTATTGGGCATTCTTACATTGAATTAATCAGCATATGCCTTTTGCATCTACTCTAAGTCTTTTTAAAGTCTCTTTGCCATTCTACTTTACATTTTTTCTTTAAAAATAATTATAATTTTTTAATAATAATGCTCTAGATTAAAAACAAAGAACTCATGAACTGTACAAAATAATGATTAATTTCTCATATAAGACTATACACTATGTAAAGATGAATGATTGAATTAGTAATAATTTTAAATAATACTTAACAAAATATAATTCTCTAAAAATAAAAATTGATTGAAAGTAATTAACTGAGTGAGGATCAACAACATCTGTTATTTGTTGCTCCAACAAATTATTTTTAAAAAAAACTTATTTAAATATTTTTTTTTGGGTTTATATATATCAATCAAAAATTCATTTAAAGTACTTAATTATGATACTATGGTGGAATACAATAAAAAAATAACAATAAATAGAATTAGTATTAATTTTATGTATTATATTTTTTAAATAATAGAAATAAAATTTGGTAATGAAATTGGATTTATTTCTGTAATTACTTGATAAGCCACTCTAAACTTTATTGAATAAGTTAAAGCTCAACTATTTTAAATGGTTTGATTAATTTATATAATTAATTATTTAATATATGATTAATTAATCAAACAATGAATAACAGTCTAAAAATATCAGTAATTTAATTTAAAATAAATGAAGTATATTCAGTAACTAATTAGCATATTCTTATTCGAAATTCATTTTAAATTTCATTTAATAGTTCCACAAAGCCCTGTAATTACATAATTCAGCTTGATTTAAGGATGGATAAATTTAATTAATGAATATTATGTATTATACGGCATTTTAAATAGCATATCTTTTTTTCGTTTCTAATTATAATATTTCGAATTAAATTACGACTAAATGTATAGCTTTTTGACCAACTAACTCATCTTTGATCTCTAACTTATCTAATAAAACAACTATTGGAATATGTATTAGAATATGCAGCAAATTTATAATCCTAATGTTTATGGCTATCCTTATGTAAATCAACCTTAAATTTATCATTAACTATAAGAGTAAATTGCTGTCTAATCAGAACAAGGTAAAAACAGCTACAATTATTTTAGCTTAATTCAAAGAAGATGCTAGTACATGCTAAGGTACAAGAAGATCTCTTTTAGAGATTAAAGACGTTGTGCCTGTTGTATCAAGTGAAACCCTGGAAAAATATATACTTTTGATTGTCAATGAAGATGAAGCTGTGAATCAAATAATTTCTTCGTTAAAAAACAGTGGCTAATTTTCTTTGTCAAATGTCCTTGAGATTCTTTCACAGAAGCAGAAGCAATAACATAAAAGTAGAGAAGAACTTATTAAGTTTTGCTTAAGAAAAGCCTTTAAGTTCATCTTCAGAAAGGTATAAGAGGAAAATGACAAATCAAGTAATTTATTAAACTTAATTTCTTAGAGACAAATTTGAAATCAGCTTAGAAAATATTCATAGAAGCTATCGAATAAGAAACAAAAAAGCATATAGTTTTGCCATTTAGAAAAAATAGCAAGAATAAAACTATGAATTCAGATTTCTTAAAAGAAATATTTTCTTCTTCTACATTTGTTCGATATTATGAGCAATATTTAAGTATTAATATAATATAAATCATAGGTTGCTTAGATGAATAAATTAAAAAAGACTCAAAAAAAAAAATTGCTGCTTTATGCAATAAAATCTAGAATAAAATTTCAGACGATAAAATTGTATAAATTTTTTTGAATTTAGATTTCTTTCGAAGTTAAAAGATTGCCTTGGTCTCTTTCCAATATCGAGAAGGTTAAAATAGCTGCGAAAGAAATGTTATTATATTCTAAAAATTAGTATAATTGACATTACAATATTTATTCCTATTTAAAATAACATCATATCACAATCTAATTTATTATTATCTATTCTATATTAATCAATAATTGATAAATTCTGAAAAATATCAGTAATAAATTTCTTATATATAAATAAAAATTGAGGACTTTTGTATGAAGTTATTCAAACTTATTGATATTATAAAATAATTTATGAATAACCTCCAAAATAACGCTTAACTGATTAAATATAAGATTAATAATATATATATTTAACTAAATTATTTAAAATAGGATTAGCCAAATAAAAATTCAATAAATCATAATCACAATCATCAATATCATTATATCTATCTAAAGAGCTTTATTTTAAGTTGAAAGATATTCCTAATAACAATGCTCATCTAACTTTTCAGAATTCAATTCACATTTATATTTTAATTAGTTCCATATACATTATCCTTTCTTTAAATTACACATAATAGGATTACTCAGTTGTTAGCATCTAAAAATATTATAAAAATTTAATAATACTCAATATTTTGACATTAATTCATGTTCCAAAAACACTAACCTTAATTTTTTATACAAGAATCATATGTATCATAATCTGAACATTTAGAGCATTTACTAATATTAGAATATTGTATATACTTATTTCTCCAAAAACATTACACTCCATTAACAAAATTACAATCAGACATTTTTATTCTATGTTTACAATCTTCTATTAAACATTATAAATTTAAATCATCAGGTGCTAATCTCTTTTATTATTAAACTACTTTCCCATCAACAATAGCTGCACATCTAAAATTAATTTTCAGGAATACTTTTAATTCAATCTTGATTTTATGCATCCTTTTATGGTTTTAAAATCTTCACATTTAGTAACTTAAATGCAATCATCATTTTACCAATCACACGATATATCTGCAAATGATCTACATGAAAAACGATTATTAAAAGATTAACATCTATTTTAATTAAAATTTTGTTTACGTGAGATCAACGCAGTTTCCTTCAGTATTCTCTTATTATGAGCTTTCAGAAAAAATAGATGTTTGCTATCCTTCCCAAAAACACTTATATGATTTTTGTTTGCATGTATATTCATTAAGGAATTAATTACAAGGTAATTTTGCTGGAGATACTTTTTAGCATTTGTAGCTATAATCATCCCATTCACATAGAGAATTATAATTATAGTCTTCAACTGATTGGCAAAGATCCCTATAAAGGATTGATTCACATGTGATAGGAGTAGAAGCACAAGATTTAGCTTGAATCGATAAAATTGATGTTAGTAAAATAAATAATATCATTTTTTTAGATAAATGAATAAATAGAAAGTATTGTGAGATATCAAATCAAATATGGTGTCATTGAAATATATATTGTCTATTGTGTATTATTAGCAATATTAATTTTATTTTAGATGAATATTCATCTCAAAAAGTTAAAAAATAATCCTCATGGTGATTCTGTAATCCTACTTGAGTACATCACTCATTCATTCTTTGGATATGATGCTTATTAGATTATATGAAATATAAATGAGTATCATATAATTAATGTTATTATATGATTAATTGCAATAAGAAATATCAAACTTAAATTGGTCAATTTTGGCTTTATAATGCTTAATATATTTGAATCATTTATCTTCAACAATCATTAATAAATTAATCAAAATATTATGAATAATAACGATTTTTGAAAAAATTATCAAATTTGTTTTTAAACATATATATTTTCTTCTGGTATTTCAATGATCAGCATACAAATCTATAATTTGAATAGTAAAACATTTAATAATTCTGAAAATAAAAAAATAAAATTATCAATATTTGCACTTTACCCTCTTGAATTAAGTCAAAAATAGATTTTTATAGATTGATAAACTATTTATTAAATTCTCTTTTTTAATGTTGTCAATTCATGCTCCTATTGATGTTTTATCTTTATCTAGATTACGTTATTTAATAAAGAACAATAAACATCTTAAGTTGTTGAATTTAATTTTTTTTTATTAAATCACTTAGATTTATTTTTGGATGATGGAGGGGATTTTAAATTAAGTATTTATATGATTCTAGAACTTAAAGTGATTGTAAAAACTTGAAATAAAAATCATGATGATCTAAATTTGTACCGCCTACTTTTAGTAATTGTATTTAGAATGTCATATAGAGTATCATATATTGATTATACATGATATTTTACTTAGGATTACAAATTGGATAATGTCTTAAACATCTTGGATTTCAATTAGTTAGATTATGCAATAAAAAATTTAATTGTATACAGTTACAATTTATGGGCTTATTTTTGTTAAAGCATCTATGTGTATTATAGAATTTTCTTCAAGTGGAAAAGGAATACATAAAAATTGGAGAGACAAAGAGTAATGAAAATTTTTGATTTTTCGATTTTAAGGGGATAGAAAAAATATATTAATTAAATAACTAAAAGAAACACTAAATAAGGGGATTTTTAAAAAAAATTAAAAAAGATACGACACTCACTTAAATTGTAAATACCATAAAGTTAAAAAGTTAAATTAAGCATGGGGGAGGTATATTGGGATTGACGAATCTTTTTAGTTAAAGATCAAAATTTAAATATAAAACTAGCAGAATGTCTGGACAACCTCCTTTAAAGTAAAGAAGCATTCTAATATTTAGTTTTCTAAATATGCCCAATTTTAACATGTTGAATCCCTAAAATACTTAAATATCTTAAGCCTATGAGAAGGCAATTAAAGATGCTGTGAACAGTGTGCATTTATAAAAATTAGGA